AACAGTTCTTTCAAATAATAATAAATTGCTCGAAACAGTGAAAAACGTTAATTTTATAAATCCTATACACAGGAACAAAGTTTTAAATTTTAAAATAAATTTTACTTTTATTTTAATGAAATAAATTGTCTGAAAAAAAATGTTGTGTTAATTTAGAGAAATTTAGTTCTCAGCTTCGCCAAATTAAATACAACCTCAACACATTTTTTGCTTAACTTGATTAAAGTAACTTAATTGACATTGATAGAATATAACATGTAAATATTCTTGGAAATACATAAAAAATACATAAATTATCGTCTTATATAAAAAACTAGTTTTAGCTCGCGACTTCATCCGCGTTAATTTCGTCATCTACATATATACATAAAAAAAGTCGTGTTAGTTACTCCACTTATAACTTAAGAACGGCTGAACCTATTTAGCTGAAAATTGGCAGGGCGATAGTTTAGAGCCAGGAAATTGCAATAGGATACTTTTTATCCCGATCGACAGCATTCCCGTGAGACTTGACATGAAACGTCAGTCACTATAAAACGTGGAATAACGAAACACAATTGACAGCTATGCAATTGACGTATAATGACAGATATGTAATGACGTAATGATTACAATTAGATATTTGTAAGAGATCTTCTACTATTTAAAAATAAGTCCGGTTTTCCATCCTGACTATACTACAAATCAATATTTTAAGTAGATGGCGCGAGTGCATGATACATTGTTTGACAACTACTCATTGTTCTCTGCTCAGTTAATTTCATGTGACAAACCGGTATTGTGTTTGTAGTTTGAACTCTTAAAACCATTTAGTATTTGCGGGATACATTTAGAAAATCATTGTTTTATAGATGGGCAGTTATATTCTGCGTGTTCACGAGTTTGGAAACCATCCGCTTTATTTGTGTTAAAGTTAGACCAAAAAACAAAAAATGTGGTTTACAAAAGACCACTTCAATGAAACGGATAATTTGCGGACACGTATAACGCTTCGATTCGGTATCTACTTTGGATTCACTTTCATTTACTGAGAGTAAGTTCAATTAAATAACACTTCATTTTTGTAATCGAAATGAATTCATTACTGTTGTGAAATGAAATAAATATTTTCCTTTTCAAATATAAAACAAAAAAAAAAATTCTTCATCTTTTAACCTTCCTATACCCGCGTCAAATACCATAACACATATACCCGCGTCGGTCAGTGGGACCGATAGTTCTTTCGTTTACTAAATACATAGCTATCCTTTCAACCACAAAAAATAGTAATTTATGATTAAAAAGGACTTTTATACAAACAATATAAACAAAATTTATGACAATAATAATGTGTATTACTAACTAATAGTCTGTTTATTACATCGTTGATTTTATTGTGTAAAAAAAAATTGACGTAATATAAATGTGGTTATTTATGTAAAAGATTTTTTGTCTTATTGTTGTTTTAAGTTTTTAGCGTTTATAAAATGAAGAAATATTATAAAAAATCTTAATATTTTTCATTGTTTACCAATAAAAATAAAATATTTCTTTTAAATATTCTAGCACGTTACATATAAATAAATATTAATTGTATAATATTTTATTTTTTGTCAGATAGTATTTCTTTTCATTTCGGTTAACCGGTACCTACTATTTTTTACATAACTTTCTATATGCTCTCTGGGGGAACTCTTTGGATCTCTTTGGACTTTTGTATGTATGTGACAAATTTGGGGAAATCATGCAGACTTACGTCAATGGTTAACCCAAAGGCGGTTCTTTACAGGACCTTCGGTAATAATCGTCAATTAACAGACTTCAATGGTTTAACCTCACATATCTTAATAAAAAACATTAGCAGGCGTGATTTGATACTCCCACATATAGAACGTGAAACTAAAGTCAATATTTCTTTAGTATTTTGAAATACAGTAGTCCATATTGGGACGGTTTATAGGGCTCGGTATTCTTACAATGTTCTCTCAATGATATTCATCTTATTGTTGTTCAGTGATATTTATGGTGTTAGTGTACATAGTTTTTGAAAAATAAGTAAAGGGAGTAATAATAAATAGATTTTCAAGTCATTATTAATTATGAGATAAATAATAAATAAAGCTATAGATAAATTTCAATTGCTTCACATGTTTATTTAGTAATTAGTATTGTTACGTTATACTTTTAGTTTTTTGTTTTTTGTTTATGTAAATGAAAGTATTTTTTTGTTTATTCATATTAATATGTTAAAATTTAATGTCCTTAATTGGTTGTTTATAAAGTATTGATAGTCACTAGTTTCTTTCATTTTCGTCAATGTATATTTCAGATGAAAATAGTCTATTCGTTCAGACCTCCATCCTCTTAACATCACTGTCAATTCACGTTTCTAAGACTACCTGATTTTTTTATAACGCCCACATTAACGTATAAAATGACGTGAATTATTTTCCTGGTATATTTGATTTCATTGAATACAAAATCATAGTATCGGAAAAGGTGGTGGAAGTGTAGCGATTTACTATTGGTCTCACCTTCCTTATACTGTGTGTATACTTAAAGTATATTTCCCCAACCTTGTTCTCCAGAATATGTATTGAAACATGGTTACTTCTCCGGTAAGTAACTTTCATCCTTCTAAATCTAACATTCTTCATCAAAATAATTTCGATGGAATTGATTTTTTTGTTTTGACTCGTATTAAATATGGACACAACAAACAAAGACACGAAAATTTATAATTTTTTAACAATTGCTCACCCATCTCTTGGATTAGCATGCCGCTGTCAGATTCATTTATTTGAAAAGCCTTCCAGCGGCTAGGTAACGAATGATATTTAAAAAGTATGGAGCGGCAGTATACTCGTAGATACACTGAAGTTAATCGCTGAAAATAATTAGAAATCGTTGCAATACTTAAGTTAAAGTTTCATAATGAGACTATATGATTCGTTCAATATGCCAACAGCTAAAATATGAACATTACTTCCATCACTTGTAGGGTGTAAACAAGATTTCAGTCTTCAGTAAACTTTGATATACGACTTCTAAAAATGCACTTCTCACACAAAAAAGTATGTAAAAGTACATAATACTTGAGTATTTTCTCTTTCTCTTTTTGATATACTTCTCTTTCTTTCTATGACTTTCGATGTTATATGTAGTTGCAGATGGGGTTATCTGTTATACGATGTCTCCATCCTAGATTATATATCCACTACATCCTCTATTTTTTTAGAAAAGAAACCCTATAACCATGAATGTAATTGATTTTGGCCCTATTCACATTTTACCATACCTTAAAAAACGATTACGGAAAATTATTATGGTCTGGGAAGCCAATTTCTTAACAACACCTTTAAAGATCCATGTATATATTTGGAGGAAAAGTTATCTTTACGTTCTTTATACTCAAATTTATACTAAAGTTGTCCTTTTTAAGATAAATGTGTAAATCCAGATGAAAGCTCTTTAGTTTTATCTTTTAATCATTTATTAGTGCAGTGTTTAAGATATGCTTAATGAACTTGATAAGACTCTAACGTCTCTTGTCAAAAAGTAAAAATACAAAGTGTTAAGTTTTAAATATTTTTTATACATTACTGCAACAGATCATGTAACAGTTAATATTCATTGTATTATGTTATGTAGGAAGCGGTATCGGTTTAAGTAAGTGTGAGAAACGAAGCAAAAACTGAGGATAAGTGATCTATTATGAAATCTTAATTTCAAAAGCATGAGTGACTTTAAGAGCAATTCTTTGTTATATAAAGTTCTGTGCTTTAATAATGTATAGGAAGTAATTAGATTAGAATTTTCTGTTGTAAATTGTGTTAGAGGTGAAGGTGTTATATGAAAATGTTATCATTGTATGAATAGAATTAGACACTTCAAATGGACCTGGTCTCTTTAATGTCTGGCACGAGGTGCTTATTTCTTATTTAACCATTCTTTATATTTATCAGTCATGTCAGGATTGTTGGGCCCTATTTTTTCATAATCATAAAGTAATAATGTCTTAAAATTTATTCAGATCTCTTCAAGTAGGAATAATATACGTGATACTTTTTGTAAAATAAAAACTTTATAATACCTTTATATACTCAAGTGCAATATTGTAAGTCTGAGTGTTTTTTTTATGTACTTAACTATTAAAAAATATTAACCAAAACGCTTGGGATTTCTTCGCATTAAACTTCGCGAAAAAGCCCTTAAAGTTTTCAGCGCTTCATGAAATTACGTGGAATTTAAACATAACTTAAAATTAATTATTTAATAACAATTGTCAAAGCTTAATTAAAGTATATTTCTTAAATTTAATATGTATCAGAACCATCCATAATCATCCATATACCGTTTTGTTTGGGCGTGAATAATATTTTATCAGTGTGTAAAATGAAGATATTTTTTTACACCAATCTCCAAATGAATTCAAATTAGTTCCTTAGTAATAAACGTAATTACTAAAGTTAAAACTAACTTAACGACCCGATGGTAAGAGATTGGAATATTTTGCGAAAACTCATGTGTAAACCCAGCTGTACATATATATGGGAAATTTAGTTATTAAATTATATAAAATATTCTGTGTTGGTATAAATAGTAAAGAAATGAGATTGGTAACTTATGGCAAATTCACATTGTTACATTAAATAACAAGCTTTGATAGGATAAATTTATATACATTGATACAGATATATCCGCGTATTTACCATTGGATAATTCCGCTTATGTACATTGGAAGCAGATTATCACAAGAAAATTTAATTTGAAATATTTTCCACAGTAATGACTTTTAAGGTAATTTTTCGACATTTAGTTATAATTTAATGTTTAATTTGCGGATTTGCACTATTGCCTACGATATGCCACAAATCAGATATTTCATTATACTTATTAAACAGAATATATAATGTACAATATATAATGTCCGTCAGGGAATGAGCTGCCAGTACTTAAAGCGGACGGATTTCTATACGTTTCCTTTGAAGATAATGTATGTATATATGTATTTTTTCCAGAATCAGATATCGAGTTGTTTGAAGATAATCCCGAGGAGTATGTGTGGCGTGATATCGAAGGTTCAGACGTTGCGACCAGACGCCGCGCCGCCTGCGAACTGTTGCGGGCCCTCGCAACACATTACGACGATAAAATGATGGCCATCTTCGGACAGTACGTAGAGGTCAGTGAATTGATTTATTACTCACTACTATTATTTATGTTAAGACCTCTGATTTCAGTAATGGTCTTATAATTTTATCTAAGTGAGTTATACTAATGAGCGTCAATTTGTAAAACTAAATCTATACGAATTCAATGTAATAATTTTTGAATAAATTACATAACTTAAATGCATCATTTTCGCATTGCACCATTTATCTGACACTATGTTTTTATATATTATGAAAATGTCCATACTTCAATGATTTATTATTTTTTTATCACTAAAAAAGTCTGCCTAGGAATGTTTCGCAATATATGCCTGACAAAATAGTTTCGTATATATGTATTATCAACACAATATTCCATTATTACATTTCATAAGGAGTATTTTCAGCTGTCTTTGTTGAGGAACTTACTACTGCATAGGAACATTACTCAAATGCAAATTTTTTCCCTCCTATTCACCTCTCATCTCATTTGTGTATAACTTAAGTTATTGTTTTAAATTCACCAACTATTTCTATTTTTATGTATCAGTTGAAAATTCCCAATAGGTTTCTTTACAGGTTTAATCCACTGTGAATTCTCTTAAGTAATAGGTATTCTAATCAGGTTATATATAAAGTAAATTTATCACGAGCCTTTAAAATCTTAAATTTTTAATGCCTAAGTTTTATATGTTTAATCACTCAATATTCAAAGACATTTTAATATCTTTCTAAATATAAGATTCCAGTTACCTAAAAAATGTAGAAACGAGACTTATTCTTATTTTAAAATCATAGCATTCAAATTAAAATTTTACGATCACGAAATAATTCCATCTGGATATTCATAGTTTTTAATATTAATTCTATACTTGGCAGGCTAACTTTTAAACTCAAGGTTTATTGGTTATACGAAATAAATTAATAGATATTAAAGTCTTCACTATATATTTATTTTGTATGAAAGTAATAATTAGTTACAGAAGCAAACGTAATTATTATTGTGTTTATAGAAAAAAATACCTAGTTAAACACACGGCTAATGTACCTCCTTAGAAGAAGAGCTTTTGTATTAACAATTACTAGATTAATATATTATTACACGAATAAGCACCACTCCGACATTAAATATTATTATCCAATATATTTTTTTAGATTATATTTTCATTTTTCCTTAATTTGTGGTAACAGTTAAATATACATATATACACAATTGTTGATCGATATTCTTAATAGGTTTAGTAATTTTTATTTATGTTTCATTGTAAAAAAAATAACTCGGTAACATTTTATAATGACATCTAAGATTTTCAAGAGTTTCATTCAAAATTCCTCGTTTGCCCGTAATCACGGGTGCTGCAAAGTAAGAGAAACGTCGGTAGCATGTAGTTTTTTAAAATAACCAGTTACATTTCATTTTAAAGCTAGGTAACTTACGTACCTCGTTTTAAATTATCCTTAAGTTTACAATTCTGAATTCCCATGAATGTTAAAATTTGTATTCTATTTGATAAATAACTTAAGTTCAAAATAAAAAATAAAAATAATCTTACACAGATATAGTTAGAAGAAAATACAAATACAATCTTATACACTTTGGAATCTTATATCGACTACTGTGCAAGTCCAGTGACAATAATGAGTGTGTGTTAGTATTGGTATTTAGTTAGTAGTAGATTTCCTTAGTTTATAGATAGTGTTTAGTTTCGTAGTTGAATCCATGGTGACTATTTTATGTTATTACCAACCTTAATTTTAAATAAATTTAATATTTTTTAATTTATTTAAAATCTAACAGATATTTCATTAGGTAATATATATCTATGTTATTTAGATCCCTTGTGTATAATATCAAAATAAGTTGTACAAATGTACGACAAAAACCTTTTTACTATCGGTGGAAATTAAGAGTTGTAAGTGTTCGAAACTAAACGACGTCCCTGTGGATCCCCAGACAATAGATGAAGGAAATTGCTGGGAGAAATGCCTACAATGACAAATTTGCTACTCAATAACTTGAGACTCTAAGTATCGTAGTAAATCACTATGGATTCCGAGAATTAGTTGTTTTTGTAAAATGCTACCACTGAATAAAAGATCTTTTAATAAATTGTGCCAATAACTTCAACATTAGACTATGGACATCAAAACTTTAAAGTAAATAACTATGAAATAATTATATATTCACTCGTTATATTATATTTTACCCATACAAGGATGTTGCCCGGCGATGTCTATTTATTTCTTAATATTTAGCACTTACGTAACAAAATGTTAAACTGAAGAAAATTTTTACCTTTAACAAACATATAAGTTTGGTGAATTCTAATCTTCAAATTTTGAGAATTAGTTAAGACATTAATCAAATGCAATAGCCCAGTGTATATGCCAACATTACTTATTGTTTGAATCTCTTGTTACTACGTTTCTATTACTTAGTAGTTTTATATTAATATAATAATTATTATTATAATAGTTCTACTTTCTCAAATATAAAACTTTTTAAGAACAATAATTTACAACTTTTCCAAGACGACGTATATCGGAAATAAGAAATATAAATTCACTTTGAGAACTATTTATTACTGCGCTAAATGATGTTGGTGACATGGAAAACGATCGTTTTCGTATCTAAACAATTTTAAATATATTTTTTATTAATTTTATCTGACAGAAATCTTTAACTAAGCCGTGCTTAAAATAATACATGTATATATATATATATATATATATTATTCATTGTATGCAATAGTATATTACCAGAATATATTAATAGGTATCTTAGGTTTTAAGTTTTAAAAATATTTACTTAATATACACAGTTATTATTCAACCATCAACGATATTATTTCCACAGTTGGACATAATTCTTGCCTCTTTTGAACGAGACAAAGAAATTTCTTTTTGACATAATATAAGATTGAATCTTTGGAACTGTTAATGTTTTAATAAATATTTGAGAGAAATTGACGAAAATGATAGAAAACAATAGGATATAACTTGTGAAAATATAATATTTCAATATGACATGACATATTTGTTAGTGAAATGAATACTCGGAAAGTCTTAGATCTCATTATTATTAGTAAAAGTTTAACTGTTGATGCAGTAAAATACCTTGATTATTAATAAACAACTAGTAAAATACATAGTCTATACGTAAAATAAAAATAAAATAGGTAGATCAGACTGTATTAAACATACATACATAATATACTATAAGTGGCTATTTACGGGACAATATTAAATATATAAATATACATGAAGTAAGCATAATAATTGTTTATTTAAAATGATATCTTTCTATGAGTAAACCTCAAAGACCTTCTGTAGTATTGAAAGAGAACTTTAACAAAGAACAGTGTATTTTATTATATTTCAATTGATCAAAGGATACCTCATTGACATGAGTAGCAATAATCATGTAACTTTGTTTAATACAATAAGTTCATGTTAAATATGAAATGGAATGTATTCAAAAGTTATGTGTAAGTGGTATGTATTGTTTTAAATCGACAGTTGATTTTTATGGGACACAAAGACAGAGATCAACGTTTTTCCATTTTACCAGTTCTTAAAAATTATTAATGTGCTTTTTTAAACAACCTTATTTTTTCCTTTTAACTGTTGAATAGAAGGTTATTAAGTTAACACAATATACAATTTTTTTTTTGTTTGGAATCAATAAATCAAACAATTTTTTTTTATAGCAGTTTAAATCGCCATAATCTATTATAGGTCTTCTCCTAGCTTTAGCCAAAATATGTTGAGACAGTATTTTAATTCAGAATAAACAATGGCCACAGATGTTTTTAATGTGAAATACATCACAGTTCATTCTAAATAAATTTTTCATATCCTCGGACAATTTTTAAATTTTTGAAACCTTATTTAAGAACTTGTAACTTTTGTAGTTTCGCGACATAACACAGCTCATTGAGCAATTCAGCTGACACTGGCTTGCTTTTTAAACAACTTCACGTTTCGTATAGGTATAGAATCTCTCAGTAATTTAATTTAATAAAGCTAAAATATCTTAACAGACACACTGAACCCTTAATATGGTTTAGTAAAGCGAGGGTTATAAGTTGTCAAGAGATATTATTTTTTTTTTTTTTTTGTTATCCTTGGGAAAATGCATTTACGCATCCCCGCCGTTTTTAGAAAACAGCGGGGTATGTGGGACTCGTTGCCACTACCCACTAAAAACCCAAGGGTGTTCCACGACGGCCCTTGTGTCGGGGCGGGGGATCGCTTTCGCACTCCCACCAGCTTCCCCGACAGGCTGGCCCGCATTCTGGGGGCCCTTCTTCTTTTGGGGGGCACTGGTACCGCCCCTCCCTCATGTGGTGCTCTTTTCCACGCACGTGACCTCGGGAGTTGCATGGGGAACACAACCATGCAACTCCCTTTACCGTTTAGCGCGGGTTGGGGTCCGCGCCACGGGCCATTTTCATGGCGGCCTCAAATCGTCGCGGGCGTCTCTGCGGCGGCGCCCAGCACGGTGTCTGCGAGAGGGGAGGGATGATGAGGCTTCCCTCACCCTACCGGCCTCCTCCTTCGCGGACATTACCGCCTCGCAGAAGGCGACCGCGGCGTCCCAGGCCGCCTCACGCCGCACCATGTACCACACCATGTGGTGCAGTGATAAGGCCCCAGCCTCAATTGCCCCAAATAGGTCACGGCGCTGCTCCGCCCATGCTGGGCACACCTCCAAGGTGTGCTGCGCCGTGTCCTCGGGGCAATCCGCACAATGGTGGCATGCCGGAGATTCCTCCCGCCCTATTCGACATAGGTACTTCCCAAAGCAACCATGCCCTGAGAGTACCTGTGTTAGGCGGAAGGAGAGGCCACCATGCTGTCTCTGCAGCCACTCCGACATGACGGGCCTTACCGCCGCTATCGTGGCGTGTCCCGCATTTGGCGTCTCGAGCCGCTCGTACCACTCCGCCATGGACAGCAACACCAGCTCTTTTCTGCGCGCCTCGACCGCTCTAGGCATGACCACCGCGCCTCTCTCCAACACTTCCCCGCGCCAACTGTACAGCTGTGCGAGAAGCTTAGCCTCCAGGTCCCATGGTGGGGATCCGGCGAGCAGGGTTGCAGCCTCGAAGGAGACCGTGCGGTACCCTCTTATGGCCCTAATGGCCATCATCCTCTGCGAAGTGTGAGTACTGAAAATAGATATACACAGTTTTGTCTAGAAGAACTGAAAGTGTTAATTTAGAATATTAAATTAAATTGGAAATACTTTAGGAAGAGATTTTTACCTATTGAATTGAAATAATTTCTATACTATCTATATATATTTTATCTATATCTGCATTAGTAGTAAAATGGGGAAAATAGTGCAATTACTTTAAGTGGTGCAACAGAGTATAAAAGAATGACGTAATTCTCTTTGTAAAGACAATGTGCATGAAGCAAAAAGCTGCTCCAACAGAACTACATATATATTTCAAAGTGCCACTTTTGTATTTAAACTAGTCAAGTTGTATAGTATCAACGAAAAAAGCTGGTTTTATTGTGATGAAATTTTACTAAAATATACGAGAGATTAGTAGAACAATTTATCTTAAAATAGCTTTGTGAACTTTAGTCTGCATATAAAACGTGATACCATTTCTAAAGATTTGTTGATTTCTTAGGTATCAGTGAGTTTAGGTGTACCGAGTAGGTAAAGTGCTAGCGGTTATAGCACTGCTTATACGAACACAACAATGAAACTTCTTGTTTCACAGTGACCGGTTGGTACTTCAAGCAAGTGTTTCCCTTATCCGGACACATACATATGTATAACAGAGAAAATGAGATTCGATATTAATTAATAGATATATTAATTGATTTCATTGTATCTTTTTTTATCTCTGAAATAATAAAAAAAGCCATACAAAATTAATTATTAACGAAAATGTTGTTCGGTTTTCATCAAAATTACAGTTCATGCTAAAGCCAGGTAGTCTAATGTCATGTTTGACATTTAGTGATAAACAGTAAGGAATTTTAGTGAATTGATGTGTTACAGGTGTACGGGAAAGTGAAAGTCAAGTAACGCGTAGATTAAATAATTTCATGTATTTATAATATTTCTTTACTATATAAATTTTGTCCCTGTTGTTGCTACGTTCATCTCCTTCCGTAATCTCTTAAGAAGGAATACACAGTTTTCGTTTCACTAATAAATAATTAAAATCTTTACATAATAAATATAATTTAGCGAATAGGAACCATATAGATTCGTTATTTTTACAGTTTAGTGGTTGATTTTTTAGTGGTTACGGTTTGCAAATCATTTAGTGATAAGTTATAATTATCTTCCAAAAACAGTAAAACTTCGAAAACAGTTCTTTCAAATAATAATAAATTGCTCGAAACAGTGAAAAACGTTAATTTTATAAATCCTATACACAGGAACAAAGTTTTAAATTTTAAAATAAATTTTACCTTTATTTTAATGAAATAAATTGTCTGAAAAAATGATGGTAGTTAGATCAATTACTATCTTTCTATTAAAAAATGTTGTCGTGTTAATTTAGAGAAATTTAGTTCTCAGCTTCGACAAATTAAATATAACCTCAAGAGATTTTTTTGCTTAACTTGATTAAAGTAACGTGGTATTGACATTGATAGAATATAACATGTAAATATTCTTGGAAATACATAAAAAATACATAAATTATCGTCTTATATAAAAAACTACTTTTAGCTCGCGACTCCATCCGCGTTAATTTCGTCATCTACATATATACATAAAAGAAAGTCGTGTTAGTTACTGTCCATGAATTCAGGTGTATTTAAATAAAAAAACGGAGTTAAGCTTGAGGTCAGTATATTCACTTGAAAGGCGTAATCTTAAGAGAGTGAATAACAAAAAAAGAAACTGTGTCGGTAGACATAAAATAATACAGAAAGATTAATAATATGAGCAATCACGGTGCACAATGATGTTGCTATTGAATTTTAACAGGAGTTATTAAATTAACAAGTATAATTAGTATGTGATTTTTAGACAGTTACTCTACTTATAACTTAAGAACGGCTGAACCGATTTAGCTGAAAATTGGGAGAGAGGTAGTTTAGAGCCAGGAAATTGCAATAGGATATTTTTTTATACCGTTCGACAGCATTCCCGTGGGACTTCACATGAAACGTCAGTCACTATAAAACGTGGAATAACGAAACACAATTGACAGCTATTCAATTGACGTATAATGACAGATATGTAATGACTAATGACGTAATGATGACAATTAGATATTTGTAAGAGATCTTCTACTATTTAAAAGTAAGTCTGGTTTTCCATCCTGACTATACTACAAATCAATATTTTAAGTAGATGGCGCCGGTGTATGATACATTGTTTGACAGCTACTCATTGTTCTTTGCTCAGTTAATTTCATGTGACAATCCGGTATTGTGTTTGTAGTTTGAACTCCTAAAACCATTTAGTATTTGGGGGATAAATTTAGAAAATCATTGTTTTATACATGGGCAGTTATATTTTGCGTGTTCACGTGTTTGGAAACCATCCGCTTCATTTGTGTTAAAGTTAGACCAAAAAACAAAAAATGTGGTTTACAAAGGACCACTTCAATGAAAAGGATAATTTGCGGACACGTATAACGCTTCGATTCGGTATCTACTTTGGATTCACTTTCATTTACTTAGAGAAGTTCAACTAAATAACACTTCATTTTTGTAATCGAAATCAATTCATTACTGTTGTGAAATGAAATAAAAATTTTTCTTTTCAAATATAAAACAAAAAAAATTCTTCATCTTTTAATCACCAAACGAAATGTTATATAAAAGCCTTCTGGTGGCGAAACGGAGTTCGCCGGGTTATCTAGTTAGTAATATATGTATAGCTGACTAAAGAAAGTTTTTCGCATCTAACGGTAATCGACACTCACAAAGATTGGTGGTTACACAGAAAAACCGATAGAAATAATAAAAAAAATATGATTTAATAAATACATAGAAAAGGAAATAAATTCAGTGAGATTTTTAAATATATTGAATAAAATAATTTGAAAGTCAACAACCGTAGAGCATAATAAGTGAAGTGAGAATATAGAAATAATATATGTATAAATAGCATTACCTGTCAGGAGTGTAATGGTTTGCTTGCGGCTTTCATGTAAATACAAACAGTTCACAGTGTAGACTGCCACTGCTGAATGGATTTAATCTTATATTAATTTATAATTTCTCAGAACGTGAACGGTTTTAAAATGTAAATATAATGTAAATATATAGGGTTCTAGAAGTCATACGTGAAGCGGTTAGTCTTTCGGTAGCCAGAGCGCAAAAGGAAATAACCACAAACGAACGATCAGTAGGTTTTGTGAGAGAAGGCACTAGGGCTACAAAATCAAACGTCAAGCCTTACTCCATCCTTAAAGCGGCGTCGAATTGGACTATAATAATGGACACGTATGAAAAACAATATAAAATCCCCGAGGATATTTGTGCGTCGGCCTCCAGACCGGATATATTTTTGTTTTCGCGAATTTTAAAGCGCGTAGTGATGATAGAGCTTACGGTCCCTTGGGAAACCAACATCCCCAAAGACCATACCATCAAGGTCAACAAATATTACGAGCTCACAAACGAACTCACTCGAAATAGGTTCGTAGTAGATTTGTACGCGGTAGAGATGGGAGTGAGAGGTATAACAGCGAAATCTCTCTACAACCTACTAAAGGACTTGGGCTTGTCCAGAACTCACATTAATGCATTCTTGGAACGTATATCGAAGGCAGCCCTAGTAGGTTCTTTTCAAATTTGGTTAGGTAGGGAGAGGAGCTTGGACAGTGGAGGTGAGCGTATAACGCGCGTTAGTTAAGGGGCCCCTTAAACCTACACTTGGGTCGCAAGTCCCAGGCACTGTTGAAGCTCCTCTCCCTGCACCCGCACGGTGAATCCATGGAATGCTGAGTAGTTTCGTCTCATTTTAAGAATCCTTATAAGCTTACTTAAGTCAATATAGTCATAGTTTTTCATTGCACATAAATATGTTTAATCTTCGGCTATAATTTAAATCTTTGACAAATTATCGTTTTCGATAACAGAAATATAGTTATTTAACTTCCACTCCAGATTTTCCAGTGAGATTACTGCTGTACCCTATGTATTTAACATTAAATTGATTAAATACTTAACCTGATCGTTCTTCTTAAAATTTATGAAATAAATCGAAATGTTGAATACATTAATGTGCAAATGAAACAGTGAACAGTATCGTATACAAATAGGGAATAAAATATTAATATTTATACATGTACAATTTGTATGTCTTTAAAATTTTAATAACTTCGTAAACAGTCATTCATGTCAATTCAATTAGATACATATTTTTGACAAATTCTTTATAAACCTGTTAGGCCCTTAAAATGTTCGAGACACCTGTATAAATGTAATAAGTCAGAAGAAGCTGTCGAATACTGAATTCTTACAAAAAAATATTTCTATTTTATTTAATAAAATATATCTAGGTACAACTAAAATTAAAGAGAGTATGTAAAGAATCTCATTTTATATATGAGGAAAATAAGAATTTTAGTAGAGTTATTTAATTCATAACTTTCGCAAAATACTGTTATATATAATAATAATAAATATTTGTTATTTAATTACGTTATTTCTACCCTACCTAAACTCCAGAATTTCGAGTTTTAAATAATACTTAGTTTAATATGTGTATGGTAATCCCCTTAATGTTAAAGAGTCTCTTTAGTGAATATATGTACTATAATTCTAATATTTACATTTATAATTCACTTATTATTTTAATATACAAAATAAAAAGAATTTTGTAGCTGTATGTACGTATGAATGTGTACGCACGATTGAGTGTGAACCATTTTACTCAAGGCCCGCGAAACGTTGTCGAAGAACCTACCATTGAACTAGATTGCATTTTCACAAAAAATAAAAATCAATACTTTATACGATTCGTCAGTGAATTGTTAAACTAAAATGAACTGAGAGCATGTAAGACAGCTCTTATTTTAAAAAACAATAGCTTAATCGAAAGTGAAATTTATTACAGAATTTTTTGTATAACTTCTGATTTGGATTAATAAGTTCACTCTGCTATTTCAAAGTACTCGCTTAAAAAACCGATAAATAGTTGAAACATCACATAACACTAAGATATGTATGTATTACTTAAAAATTTGTGTGGTTGCTATTTTCTCATTGCAGAGTAATCTTTGCAGATATTAAACGCTGTTTAGTGGGACTGTGTGACATTTATACTTAAAACTAAGTATACTTATTTTATTCTGTGCTTTATTTATTATTTACTGTTGCAATCCATTTAGTGGATTATTATGGAATTGATATTATGTTATATTTTCGCTATTTTGAAAGTACCGTTTGTTTGTTGAGTTGAATTATACATATTTTTTAAAATAGCAATAACAACTGGGTGATACTGCAATTAATTTAAGTGGTGTAGTGGTAGTAATATTTTTCGGCGTCATATGTCATTATCTCTATGACAATTTAGTTGTTAAGCAGTTTTTCTAACGACATTACTGTTTCAAATCAGCATAATTTTTAAATAAACACGAATTTATTTTTTGTATTCCTTTATATCACACACATGTATGTCAACGTTATTATAAGAAAATTTAAGTAACATTATTGAAATAAAACCAAAGGTCTAAACGTATTGTTTAATCAGGCTTGAAAACCAAAAGTTAACATATAATTAAATGCCCAAGAGTGACAGCAGATTTTCAAATTTTAAAATATGAAATGATATCTGTAATCTGATGCTTTGTTTCCTTTAATGTACCCGTATGTTACAAAGGCTTATTTGAAAGTAGGATTATAATTTGCCTAAGAACAGAGTATTCGTAAATCTGTAGTTAAGCTGACAGATCGATGAATAAATGTAAGAGATAAAAAGATTACAGTTTCTTTTTACTTATGAACTAATATTGCATGAATTAGTCACTTGCATACATAATATAGGTCATGTAAACAAAAGAAAGATGAAAATAAAATCTACACATATTTTTTACATTAGCATTATGAAAATGCTACTCCATTGAAACAGCCTTCTTTTAAACAACCAGCCTATTCCAACCCGTGCAAACCAGTAGATGTATACTTGAAAGTTAGAAATACTCTGGGTTAAGTTACCATCTAAATGACAAAAAGAAATAAGTTGTTTAACTGATTTTTTTTATGAAGACTAAGACATTTCGTTTATAAGTTTCAAATTTAAAGATCGTTTACAACTAAGTGGCAATAATACTACTCCTTTAATGATCGAGCACATCGAATCATGTCTTTAATAAATTTATACGTTATGCTGACACCTACAACGTATACTAAATAAATATTGACTCGAAGAATTAAAGCTTTTTAAGCTAATATAAAACCAACATGAGATAAATAAATGAGGTCTATTTACTGATACACATGTTGTTTGAAATGTACATCAACAATATCGTTGCTTAATCTGTTTACATATGATGTGAAGTAAAGTTATATTTACTGAAATCTAAATCTCGATCAAGAGACTTAGCTTTTTCGGAATTAGATTCATTACTGGCACTGGTTTATAGTGAATGTAACAAATTAAATTCATACATATATCAAACAGATTTATGAGTGTTTTTAACTACACCAAATCTCTTGTTGACCCGCTCGAGTGCTATGGTACAAGTGCCTCTAACATTTAACACATGTTACATAAACATCGGAATGTAATACGATGAACTAAGAAATGAATATTAATAAAATTCAGAAAAAACGTATATTTTTTATAGAATTGGAATGTTAATAATTAAAAATAATTTTACAAATTTTATTTCACAAGCATGACAGTAATATGTGTGTTTTTTTAAACTACATAATCATTAAGTAATCCTAACAATTCCTACATAATAATTGCAAGCATTGTTATCATAATTTATAATGTTTTCACTGTAAAATATTAATTTGTATCTTGAATAAAAATTAATTAAAGTTCTAAATATAGTTACTTTATAATTATCTTCAGCGTAAACCCAAGACTATCAAAAAGATTTATTTTTATTTTTGAAACGATAGCAATTTCGTATTGAAATTCTATAATCTCGAAAGTATCGTTAATGGATTTTCAAAGCATGAAATAGTAATGCTCAAATTTGTATAACTTTTAAAATTAATATCTTGGAGTTAGCAAATGCTATAAATTGATACAATGAAGATTTTTGTAGAAAATGTTGAATTGTTACAGAAACAAAGAGTAGTTTCTTATTAACTGGTAAGTTCTCGAACGAAAATTTTGTAAATTAAAATACTATAAATCTTTAACATTTCTGCCCTCTCACACTTATTGTTTTTTATAATTATTTTACCTTTCGAGCTCTTAATTGTACTTTATCTTGGTTAATGGAGCTGATTTAATGTAAATACATTTTTAATATTAAACAATATTTCATTTAGGTTATATTCTTAGTTAATAAAGTAAGACAAATTACTCCTTTTTATTTATTCTAAGTAAATGATAGATTCATGACATTCGTTATATGCAAACCTCAGTACAGTGCAAGGGATTTGATGAAAACATGTTTCTCGGTTGTTGTCTTGGTTTTATTATATTTTCTGAATCGAATAAGATTGCATGTTCATGTCTATTTGTAGATAAATATTTATACATTTTTTGTATATAATTCCTTTATTACTCCCAACTTAAACGTCTCCATCATCTTTTGCTTTGCCATTCAATTTTCGAAATTATATCTTACGTAGAAAATATAGTAATGATAAATAAATATGTGAAATTAAAAATATCATAAAATGTAAATCCCTTTTAATTTATTTTCATCCTGTCAGTTTTTATAAATTAACTGAAGAGAATTTCTGGAAGCAATGGATTTCTCTATACGTAATTTTAAATAATTTTTATTTATTTTAACTATTTCTTCATTCCACTTTTAATTATGTAGCCGAAAGCTTTTACAATATAGAAGTGCATTTCGAAGCAAAATTAATATTGTAATTTAATGCGAAATGTTAATTTTATACTCAAGCTTTAATATTTAGGTACTTACTGTTAAACTTAAAGGAAGTGGATTTAGATGAAAAAAATATATTTCCTAACAAATTTATGTTCTAATTCTACTTTATACTACATATATGTGCTATAATTTCAAGTACATAGTTGAATAGAATTTTTAATGTTTGATATTTAGTTACAAGATACATATTGGTAAATGTGCATGTATCGACATATTATGTGTTTGAAACACATGTTAGTGTGAGTAAAATAATTTATTTTTGTTATTTTAGTATTTGTTATGCCTTCTATGTTTAATAATAACAGGTTATGCATATTTCCACATAGATTTTGAGTGTGTCAAAATCCCAGTTCACCTGGTAAGCATTTGTGTTTAAAATATTATATTTATTGTTTTTAATAGAAATATACAAATTTCAGCTACGTGTTAGCCCAAAACTATTTCTATGGTAATAAATAAACGGACAAAAAAACTTTAAGAAAGGTGATTATAAGATTATTATAGGTAATTATTTTTTTAATAGCCGACCAACGTCGTAGTTTACTTACATGGATTTGATTTGGATTGTATAGTTGACATTTGTGATATACTTTCTTGTATAAAACAGCATACATTTAACTCTTATTTTGCCTTCGTGTTCATTCAGAGAACTAAGTATTTGGGCTCAGGGAGAAATGTACAAAGTATTTAAAATAATAGATATATAATTTCATATGAAATACCACTGTTATGTCCTCACCCTGCGGAAACTTCACAAAATTCCGAGAGAAACTCTAGCTCATATGTTATTCTGAGGGCTAAACTACATTATTATATAT